TGTTCCCTCAAATAGTGCCCAGTTTAAGGCTACAAGGGGCGATTTCGGACACAGCTCATGTGGATGTGCGAGAACCAATGTGGTCTGTTCTAGCATGTCACACACGCACGTTTGAGCTTCTGAGCATATTTGATGCACACTTTTGTAACAAATCACTTGAAAGTCATTTATTTACTTAACTTAGTATCTGCCGTCAGACTATTTGAGGTGTTTTTGCCATATTGATTTGGACTCGACTTGCATTCTGACACTGCAAACTTCATGCTTTCTTAGTTTATCTCTAATCTTTATTTTTTTTGCAATTATTCTCCGTAATTGAGACCACTCGAGTCGATTTACAATGTCTACAATGTCATATATAAGTCTGTAAATATAATTACTGTTGTGAATTACTCCATAGTGATAGACATTTGAGCCCCTGAGGAACTCTCTGCACGTCCTGTAAATTAATACTTTTATTTAGCAAAGGGATTAAAATGTTCAAAAGATGAAAATTTCAAGAAAATGCTCTTTTTTTTTTTTTACTTTCTATTCATCAAAGAATCCACAATATCAACATTGATTAGAAATGTTTCTTATGCTCTCCGAAGCTTTTTATATAAAATTGGTGCACAAGAAATTCATTTATAAAAGCATTCAAAAGCGTACAGGCTTTATTAGGTTATTAAAAAGTGCTTTTAGTCATAAAAGGAAATAATTATGTCAGTATACTTGAGTATTGCTGGCTTTTGTGAACAATGGTTGAAGTTCCTCCTTTGAATAAGAGTGTTTTACGTGAATAAATGTAAATGTGTGGCGTTCTGTATCTAACCACACTTCTCCTCTTTGTCCAGATGAGGGCGATGGCTTCAACCCTCTAAAGATTGAAGTGTTCCTGCAGACGTTGCTCCATTTGGCTGCAAAGTCCTTCAGTCACTCCTTCAGTGCCCTGGCCAAGTGAGTAACTCCTGCCAAACCCCACACAGGCCTGCCAGCGGCTGGCTCCGCGTTCCCTCTCCTTCTGCTCACAAAAGGCGCCTGTAATTGCTAAAAGCACAGATCGTCGGGAATGTATCAAAGCTTGTAAAATGCTCAGGTGTTTTCTTCTCGTAAACGATGATGGGCTCATTTCGTTTCTCTCTCAGGTTTCATGAGGTTTTGAAGGCCCTCACAGATTGTGATGAGGGGAAACTGCACATCCTCCGGGTTCTGTACGAGTTCTGGAAGAACCACCCACTGGTGGGATCATTCAGACTTCATATTTTATTGTCTTATTGCATGCTATTCGTGGCATCTGTTGAAGCTCATGTCGTGAATGTACTCCTTCAGATGATCTCAGTGTTGGTGGACAAGTTTATTCGGACCCAGATCGTGGACTGTGCGGCCGTGGCCAACTGGGTGTTCTCTCCTGAAATGGCTCATGATTTCACCAGGTATGCCTCAGACACACTTACATGTGCAGGTGAGATGACTGCAGCGCAGCTGGAATTGATTTACGTTCATTGGGCCTATGCAGGTTTTATGTGTGGGAGATTCTTCATTCCACCATCCGGAAGATGAACAAGCACGTGCAGAAGATCCAAAAAGAGCTGGATGAGGCAAAAGAAAAGCTGGAGAAGCAACAGAACAAAAAGGTAGAAGACAGACACATCTTTTGACTGCCAAGTCATGTTTGCACTGACTGTCCTCACTTTTACTTTTTAAGGGTTTAAGTTGCATCATTTGGTCAGGCAGGGTAGTTTATATCTGAAATGTCTACATTGCTTTATTAATACCGTTGGAGTCGGCCTAAGGCCAACAGACTTTCTTATTCAACAATAACTGCGAGTAACTGGGAATTTGGCTTCTCGTCATGCCACAGTGCTGAATCCTTTACGTCCCTGAGACACAGCATGTCTATTTTCCCAGACGCTACTATCCCAAAACTACTTCCAGTCAGACTAACTAAAATTTCTAATCGATACTAAATGGATTTCAAATATCACTGTATGCAATTCTGTTATTTATTGCTTTCAAAATTAGGTTTGGGTTGGCATTGCTATTGTTTCATTTGTGTATATACCTTTTTTATTTGCTTTATTCTGTATGTTATTTTATTTTTATTTGTGACTTTATAAAAGTAAAAAAAGCTAATTATGTATATAATTTGAGAGAGCAGAGTTAGTCCTTTGGAAATTACATAACTACATTTCTTAAATGTACATTTTAAATAGTAAAAGACTACAAAATCTATTTTTCTTTGCTCCAATATATTGTATTTATTTGCTTATTGAGGGGAGGACAGTAAGTCTTTGGACACTGTATTGAAGTATATCTTATTTAATGAAATAGTTGATGGAAACGGCATGATAAATGTACATTTAAGGGAAATGATTATGCACCATTATTTTAAAAATATTTTTGTTAATTTATTTTAGAAAGTACTCATATCTGCAAGAAATGGCAGCTGAAATGGGATCAGTGTATAAGAAAAAAACTTTACAAAATCAATCCTGTGGTTGGTTTTAAATCATTTTGAAAATCGCTGGGATCATATTACATACAGACGCTGTGGAATAGGGCACTCCAGACTAACTCATTTGTTCCTCCTTTATGTCCCTCGTACAGAATCCATCATCACTGAAGCATATTTTGATGGACTGTGATGGATTGAACTCTGTTGGAATTCTTTATTTCAGTTGACTCATGAATAGATTTTTTTTTCCTATAAAAGATACAATTTTAATCTTTTATTTTTTTATTTATTTTTATCTCTTTCTCACCACAAATAAAGCCAGGGTAGCTGGCATGGCGTTAGCCCTCAAACCGTATTCACTTTATAGCCCTTAATCCTGTAATTGTGGACAAATGTGGGCACAGAGGACTCAGGTGTGATCCTAATTTTTATTTATTATAAATGTTTTATCACTGTCTTCGATAAAGTTTTGTTTATCCATTTATGGTGTTTATTTTGGGGGTATTTTTGAATTTATTTACTTCAAAAAGTACCATATTTGCTATGTAAATTATGCTTATTTTTAGTTTTTATTTAAAACAAATTTTTTTTTTAAACTACATTAAAACATAATTCCAATAAGTTCTTAGAGCTAAAACCTAAAAATGAAGAGACTTTGCGGTCACCTGGTGTCTTATTTTGGCTTATTTTAGTATGCTCTTAATTACAGTTTTCCCATTCATTTCAATGGGTGCCCATTTTTGACCCAAATACAAGATCACCCACTTAACATTGTAGAATTGAGTCAAAAAAAAATTGTGTGTGTTCAGGAGGCAAGTATTTTTTTTTTTAAATAAATCAAAACTATTTTTCCCACATTTGTCCAGAATACGATTTTAGAATTAAACTATAAACAAACAAACATGTTAGAATATTTGGTTGTAACAAGTCTATATGAGTATGTGTGGGTCCTTTTAAAAGTTCTGCTTTGTTTCACTACCATGAAGCCTGGTACTGAATGATGTTCACTAACTTCTGAGAGAGCACTGGAGCCAAGTGTGTTCCTGAGATCTGAGGAGTTTTTCTTTTTTTTTTTTTCTGTAGCAGCGGGATAGCGGCGATGAAGAGGACATGGAGAAACAGAACAGTGAGGATGAGGAGGGTCAGTTGGAGGAACAGATCGAGAAGCTGCAGGAGAAAGTCGAGTCGGCCCAGAGCGAACAGAAGAACCTTTTCCTTGTAATTTTCCAGGTGCGCCCATGACAATGCACATCCATTTTACCTTTTTTGTTCGTAAATCATTTTTTTTTATAGAGGCTACATTTTCAAAAAAAGATAAAGCTGCAAAAGATACATCCCTGGTAATAACACAACACCTTTTACACCTTTTTGTCAGGAGAGAATACATGTTACATTTCTTTTTATGTCTTTCTCTCTTAGTTTGCCTTTTGTGGTTCATTATGATATGAGAGGACAGTGCCTGGAGCTAAGAGATGATAAAAGAACTGTTTTTTTTTTTATCTTTCTCTCTCTCTTTCAGCGCTTCATTATGTTACTGACAGAGCACCTGGTTCGCTGTGAAACGAGCGGCGTAGACATCAACACCACCTGGTACAAGAACTGCATCGAGAGGCTGCAGCAGATCTTTCTCATGGTAGTCCTGATCCATTTGTTTGCTGTGTTTTTTTATAATGTCATATAACGGCCCTTATTAATTGCCTTCAATCTCCATTGTCACCCACAGCATCATGTGATCATCCAGCAGTATATGGGCACCCTGGAGAACCTGCTTTTCACCGCTGAGCTTGACCATCACATCCTGGCTGTTTACCAGCAGTTCTGTGCACTTCAGCTATGAGATCCCACAATGCATCACTTCAGACTGTCACACCTGCCTGTGATGTCCATCGGAATAATTGGAGAATTGCTTTAGTAGTGATATTGGTAAATATCATACTTATTTTGGTGCCCTTGATATGTTTCTGTAGTGTTTTTCGTTTGTTTGTTTGTTTTTTAAGCTATTGTCATTTGCTCTGTGGTAAGTGTCGATCTTTTAAAAAAGCCCAGCGTTTAGAAAACCATCGCAAAGAGTTTTGTTTTACTCAAGCAACCATGGTTTGAAACTACTCGGCTGTATTTTTTTATGTCATTTCGATTGAAAAATGGAAGTTGATTTGGGTTACAAGTGATTCTGCGTTATGATTGGTTTGCCTTTATAAAGCAGATTGAGGTCTTTTGCCAATGTAATGCCATATTCTGGATGATGAAATGTCTTCCTTTTTTCTTTCTTTTTTTTTTTTTTTATACAAAAATAGAAACAAAAAAAAACAGGACTGCTTATGTCTTTTGTTCGTGCATGCATCTTACTATGTCAGATTATGGGTTAGAAAATAGGATTTTACAACAGCAAATCCATGTCAAATCAATGATGTTTGATTGTTCTCAACAGTGTGAAAAGAAAATGAAACTTTTTAACATCATTGTGGATGGACGTTTGCTTGTTTTTGAGTGATTAACAATGATTAAGATGCAATATAATAGACAGTTGTGTAATGAGTGCACAATGACTTTTTTTCCAAAAACAGTATTCTGGATTTTATAAAATTAATTTTATTACATACAAAAACAACAACAAATGCATTGGTTAAGTTAGCAGAAATATAGACATTTGGTAAGAGATCATGCACAGTATGTGTTTGAATGAGTCCTTGGCACCTTACCTAATTGTACATTATCACGCTCGTTATCGTTATTATCATGGCTACTTGCTAAATGAATACATTTACCATGAAATATTGATTAAAAAGGATATTATTCCACTTGAGTGAGAAGAAACGCCACAGTTATTTGAGAAACAAAACTTGAAGTGAAGGAGATAGATAATGGTTAAATAAACAGTTTAGCAATCATACAAAACCTTTTGACCACACAAATTATTGCATTAATCAGTAAAATGTGCAACAATAGCATATACAGAATGGTTACTTGAACCCAGAAATCTTTCATTTCTGCTCTTAAGGTAGAAAGTCAGTCCTATAGACATATTATCGCACTCAAATATACCTCTAATTTCATAAAATGACCAATTGCTAACAACTACATTGTAAAAATAATAATAATGCCTTTAAGTATAACAGTTAGAAATCGATCTGTATTCTTTAATGCAATAAAAAAAAACATTCATACATTGAGATTAAAATTGCATAAAACATTTGGTTTTGGTTTAAAGTTTGTACCTTTATTCTGATTCTTTAATGGAAACAGAAATGTTTTTGTGCGTCCAAGGTTTTATGTAACATTAATGCCGCTTGAGATGGTACCAATTCTTGAGTAAAAACAAACTAGCATTTTTAAGGCACATATTTCAGTGCTATCGAGGTAAAAGTCGTTTTAAAGTGTGCGTAAACACGGTCATCTGTGGTTTCTCAGCCTATCTCTTTATGCGTCGGTGCTGTTTGCCCAGGTGCCTCCTCCTGTTGACTGGTCTGTCACTGTCTTTGGTGAGGCTGTGGCTTCCGCACGGAGTCTCCGGTAATCCGTGTGGAAAAAGACAACAAAGCAGCAGGTGCCCAGAGCACACAGGCCTGCCATCACCAGCACTGGCACTATCAATGTGTGTTTGTGTGAGAGTGTGCAAATAGGAGAAAGGGAGAGAGAGAGAGAGAGAGAGAGAGAGAGAGAAAAACAAATGAATGCCTGGAGCTCAGCCCAACTCTATCATTAACTCATCAAGGCATCAAGCGACCAGGAAAAGCCGGAAGGCTGGATTAATTTGGACGTGTTCCCATTTTAAATGTTTTCCCTAGTACCCGCACAGTGGGTTTAGTTTGGCTGGAAAGATGAAGTGAAAATAGAATAGTGCACACATCAACAACACTGGAGTTGGAAAGCCTGGTGGGAGTCATGACTCGGCGCAAGGAGGAAACTAATCGCCTTTGGACTACTGCCATGCTTTTGAACACTGCGCACGGCATGCTATCATGCAACACTCACCTGTCCAGCTCAAATTGGCATCCGCTCCAGTTGCACATACGGATATTGACGAATCTGCTATTGGTTTGGCCAGAGCTTGAAGCAGCAGCATGTAGAGGGCGGCCTGGATTTGTCTGATTAAACATCACATTAAACACATCAGTTAAGTCTATAAAAAGGGGCTAACGAGAAGAGTTTTAGACACAGCATTGGTTTAAAAAATGAAATAAAAGTTACCCAGATACGAAGATCAATCCAGAGGATGTTGCTTCACCCACAGGGTATGAGCATTCAACTCCGAGCTCCATGGCGATGGGATATACAGAATACCCGAACAAACCGAACCACGCACAAACTGCACCGATGATCAACTTCTGCTCACTTAACTGGGAAACCTAACGGACAGCAGGACGACAACATCTCAGGCCAAGCACTCATTAAAGGGGTAGTTCACTTTTCAAAAAACTTGCTGATAATTTACTCACCCCCATGTCATCTAAGATATCCATGTCTTTCTTTCTTCAGTCGAAAAGAAATTAAGGTTTTTGATGAAAACATTCCAGGATTTTTCTCCATATAATGGACTTCAATGGGAACCAAACGGTTTAAGGTCCAAAAGACACTTTCAGTGCAAAATGCAAACTGTTCAAAGGGCTTTAAACGATTCCAGATGATGAATAAGGCTCTTATCAAGCGAAACGATCGCTCATTTAAAAAACAAACAAACAACAGTTTAAGTTTTATAAGTTCAAATGGTCGCCTTGCTCTGTTCTGCGTGCGTGACTCTTCGAACTCGTTCATCAAAATGAACAAATCTTTTTGCGAGTCAACTCGTTCATTTCATTCATTGACTGAAACAACTGAAACGAAAAAAAGATTTGTTCATTTTGATAAAGGAGTTTGAACAGGAGAGTCACAAACGCGCATCACAGAACAGAGCAAGGTGACCATTTGAGCTTATAAAACTTAAACTTTTTTTTAAAAAATTTTTTTTTTTTTAAATGAGCGATCGTTTCGCTTGATAAGACTCTTATTCATCATCTGGAATCGTTTAAAGCCCTTTGAACAGTTTGCACTGAAACTGTCTTTTGGACCTTGAACCGGTTGGTTCCCACTGAAGTCCATTATATGAAGAAAAATCCTGGAATGTTTTCATCAAAAACCTTCATTTCTTTTCGACTGAAGAAAGAATGACATGGACATCTTGGATGACATGGGGGTGAGTAAATCATCAGCAAAAGTTTTTCTAAAAGTGAACTACTCCTTTAACAACACTGAGATCATTGGCTATACTCACCACAGCAAAAACAGAGCAGCCCAGAGATGTCAAACACATGTTTATTTTAGTGACTTCTGTAAAATTCTTGGTCTTGTCCACGTACAGGCCCAAGAGAAAGGCGCCCAGAACACCGAAAACAATGGAAACTGCACCGCACAGTCCTGCAAAGTCCTGTAACATTAAAAATGCAGACACAAAGTAAATAATTTGACTCGACAAAGCTAAATTTAAAGGCATTAATTCATCTATCCATCCATCTACGCTGTGTATATGTGTACAAGAATCTGGGCACCAGACTACACATGGGGATAGTGATTACTTAATTTGACTATGTACAGCATTGGGTTACACTTTATTTTAAGGGGTCATTGTTACAGTATAATAATATATTTAAGTACTGAGTAATATTAAGCAACTACATGTACTTACTATAGGGCTAGGGTAGGATTTGGATTTGGTTGAAGGTTAGTTACATGCAATTATGTATAACTTACTGTTATTACTATGTATGTAACATGTAACAAGGATACTGTAAACTAAAGTGTTACCCAATGTTGTACAAAGTCACCACAGGTATTATTCAACAACTGTTAATATCTTTTTGATATTATTTGTTAAGCTGTGTTGATCTGTTACATATCCTTACAACATTTAAGCCGAATATTAATTATAAATGTTAACTAGATGTGTTAATGTGTTAAACGGTTCGTCTTTTTTTAATCTTCTATGGCATGTCATTATATTTATTGACTAGGCTGGTGCGTTTTATGTGTTTATATGCGTTTTAAGACGAAATATCCAGTAAGGGAACCTAGTGAGCATCAATGCTCCCTGGTTTTTGCAGTGCATTGTGGGATTTTTTTAGGGAGCGAACATTCCAGTGCACTGGAAGGACTTTTGCGATTGAGACAGCTCCTAAAATGGCCGACTCCCTGATCAGTGCCCTGACTGACGTGCACCCTATGGTTTTAAAATGTTTTTAAACATTTGGAGCAGGCTGGCTTTTGAGGTAAAACAAGTTTGAGGTGAACGTGTGATTTTTTTATGTTGTCAATAATCCTGTGTTGTGTTGATTTCTTACATTTGAGTAGCCCTTAACACAAAGTATCTGCTCCAGAAAGGTGGAAAAGCAAGTGAATATTCCTATTCCTGAACCAAAACACACCAGCAGGACCATGTATGCTTTGTTCGTCAGTAGCTGTAAATAAAAGTGACAGAATACAGTGAATCTCAGACAGCAGTAAAAAATGTAAGGAAACTAAATGCCACCATAAATAAGAGGCTGTTTCATTATCTTCATTTTTGAAAAATGATCATTAGTAAAGAGTTGTTGTGAGATCTGTATGTGTGTGTAGTACCAGTTTCACCCCCTGTAGAAAAGGTTCAGAGCTGGAGGTCACCACACTGGCGGAGGGGGGTGTCGGGGGAACGCGTTCCCGGATCCCTACTGTTGCTAGGAAACAGGCTACGGCGGCAGGTATGGCATATATAAAGAGCTACAACCCAGACAGACGACGGGCCTGTTAGAGATCATACAACAATTGAAATTCGTTTGTGACAAAGTTCTGACTTACCAGCATAAGAAGATTATTGGTGTAACTAATTATCATGGGAGAGAAGATATTCGCAAAGAGCAACCCAACAGTATTTGCTGGAAAACAAAAAAGAGGAATATTAGCATTCTACATACATGCATGTAAAACATGAGCTGTGGGTGAATAGGTTACCCATGGAAGCCATCATGTTAGCTGTGGCCCTCTGGTGATCGGGGAACCAGAGAGCCGCGAGCTTGGTGGGGGCAAAGATGATCAACGGCTGGGCGAAGGCACACAGCGTTTGGCCGCCCATGACCATAGGGAACACGGCCCACTCCGGGATCCATTTCAGCACGCCAACGACACGCAGGACACTGCCCAACATGTTCAGCCAGGAGCCCATGATTAGCTGTTTCAGAAGATAGGAAGAAAGTAAAGTATAAAGGCCTGTTCACATAGGACACGTTTTTTTGCGAAAAACAGGTCAGTCTAGAAACACGTTTTTAGATGCAAGAAGTTACCACAACGGTTAAAGACATCAGTCTAGTTCGTTTACGTTGAAAACAATGGAAAAGTAGCGTAGTGGAATGGATAATGTGTGTTCTGTGTGACTTTTACTTTCCACCACAGGAGGAATCTGTCATTTTTAATATGTCATGAACATTTTCACCAGTTTCTTTCCCAACGCATCCCAAATGATGGAAATTATGTTTTAAATGTTTTAATAATTGATAATAATAAATGTTTAAAAGAAATAAATAGGATACAATGGATTATTTTTTTGTTAACACAATTAAATACTTTTTTTTTTAAATTAAAATGTTATTTTACATAATGAAGTTTTGCATTAATTGACAAAATGACAAGTACACTAACTTTAGAGAAAACTTCGGAAAAAATCGGAAGTGGGTTTTTAAAGAAAAACAAAGTGCCGTCGGTAAATTTAAAGGAAATTAAAAGCTTTTGGACAAATTCAATGTAATTTTATGGAAACGTTATTACAGACTATTATGTGACCTTCACTTTAACCTTTTTAAATATGGCATGGTGTCACACTACAATGGTAGGCCTAACCAAAATTTCTGCCAAAATACCACAGAAACTTAAATTATATTTACAATTAACCGTGATATTAGTCAACACTGTCATAAAAAATACTTAAATATGGCTTATACAGTAGGAAAAATAACTTTAATAAAGGTATTTGGCAAAAACGAGTCCTTTATATTCTATAACATAGAAAAAAACTTGACAATTCTTGAAAAATTACAATTCTGTCTCCATTTACTCACCCTCAAATTGTAACAAACCGGTATGAATTTCTTTCTTCTGCTGAACTCAAACAGTTAATGAACCCCATTGACTTCCATAGAAATTTTTGTCTAGACTATGGGAGGCAATGGGGTCCATCAACTCTTTGCTTTCCGACATTCTTCAAAATATATTCTTTTGGGTTTAGCAGAAGAAAGAAATTCATTCAAATTCAGGTTTGGAACAACTTGAGGGTGAGTTAACAATTTTTGGGTGAACTATCACTTTAACTGTATTTGGTGTGTGAGAGTGTGTAGAGAGAAATATGGTGCTGTATACCGAGAAGCGCAGTCCCAGTGTGTCCAGTACCCATGTTGTGATGAAACTGAAAAAAATAGCAACCACAACATAGACTAGCGACAGCCAGTTGACCAGGTCGAGAGAGATTCGCAGATACTGTGCCGTCTGGTCGGCCACGGGTGCAAAGGTCAGCCACGACTGTGGAGAACACAATTAAAACAAAGGTTTAGCTTCACATTGAGTTATACAGATGCACAGTTCACAATACAACATAGAAGACAATACTTTATTTCTGTTGCTTGACACTACACGGCTGAATTGATAAAATGCATGAGACAGGAACAGCTTGCTCATATGACACAAAGTCTCAGTTCAATATTTTAACTGCTGAAGCTGCAAAAAACAAGAAACCACAGGTCAGAAGGGCCCCTCACAAGAGCTAAACATGACAAACACACAGTGTGAATGAGCAGCAGGGGTTCAAATCGTACTGAGAAATTATACTTCAATTCAGAATTTGGGATTTGAAGGATAAAAAAAAAAAGTTAAGACTACCCTTAGGAATGTAATTTACTAACACGAGCATCCACTTTTAACGGTAATGAAGAAATAAAAATGGACGGTTCTTGTTCTTATGGAATATTGCAGTGTTTATTATATATGATTTAAAGGGATACTCCACTTTTTTTTAAAAAAAAAATAGGCTCATTTTACAACTCCCCCAGAGTTAAACTGTTGAGTTTTACCGTTTTTGAACCCATTCAGCCGATCTCTGGTTCTGGCGGTACAATTTTTAGCATTAGCATAGCTTAGCATACATCATAGAAGTACCGCCAGAACCAGAGATCGGCTGAATGGATTCAAAAAACGGTAAAAAAGTGGAGTATCCCTTTAGCCGTGCACATTTTTATTCATGTGCCTTGCAATCTTTAATCAAAATAACTCCCCCTTCCTCTTGCAGCGACATCTCTTCTCTGATGACCTGTCACTCACACGACATCATAGCAATAGCAAACCACAACCATGGACAAAATCAAGTCCCGCCGTACAGTTTTTCTTGTTCGAGAAGCAGCTTAAGTCACCGTCCCACAGGTGGGACGTTTGCCACTATATTTTTAAAACAATAATATCTTAGTAAATACCTTAAATAATATTGACAAACTATATATCATTTGAAAGCTTACGATCTCTAGTTTCCATATTTGGTGACTGATTTTCAAAATATATTACAGAGGAGCCATAATTTATCAATATAAAACAAGAATATTTTCATACTCATAAGGCGTGTTCAGACCTTTATTTTAAAATAGCAGTAAACATGAAAAATCATGAAAAAATGGTAGATACCTCAGTTTGTTTTCATGCCAAAAGTTCAAAAGATAGAATCCATTCAATTATTTTGGAAAAAAAAGGTCTGAAAAGTTTGAAATATCAGAGAAAAAAATAATAAATTCACCATTTGTGACGTGGCAGCTAGCTATGACTTACATGCGTGTTCTTTGTATGTGTTTCTTAGAGGTTCAATTCATATCAAAATCTGCCAAACTTCCCATACTACTTCTGAATAGGATCTCTACTTCAGAAATTGTATGAAAATTGTGAAAATAATGGTTCATATCACTCAAAACACGAATGGAAATGCAGGCGCCCTTATATGGGCAGTAATGGAGTCTGATTGTGCCCTAGTGAAAAAGTTTGGTACTGCGCTCAAACAAAATCTTACTGAAAGCTCATTTTTTGAGATATCAACCTAAAATTTGAAACACAACTTGTTCAGATTTTTGGCTTTGATCTTTCTGACATTTTAGAGTAGCCCAGGTTTTGAAAATATATATTTTATGTAAAATATGAATAATTAATATTTTTGCATTGTACATTTCCATAAACTCAAACCTCTATAACTTTTTTTCTGTTTCACTTTCTTAATTTATTTCACTTCTACAAAAATCTGCCAAATGTCTTCTTTAAAACAAGACCAATCATATGTCTATATTCCAAAGCATTCTTGAATTACAACCATTTAAGTTCGAAATGTGCGTTTTCATGTCTATTCAAAAAAGGGGGGGTGACAGTTAACAGGTTAACTCAGATGTAAGTCACAATACTGAAGAAAAGACTGTAGCACCTTCTGTTTCATGTTGACTTTAAGTACTTTACACCATTGAAAAGCATTATGTGCAGTGCAGAGACCATTTGCAATGTTTTTGATTGTTCATTTACACTGTTGCCCACAAAATCCTTTATTTGTATGCTATGAAGAATACTATGCATGCAGCAGCGTGACAGATGGCAGTCAGCTGATCCCAAAACACAATACAGTCGTTTCATGCACCACTGCACAACTTGCTCGGATGCTGTTTCGCATTAATTCAAATGCATAGATGCTTTTTTTCACAGTCAGTGTAGAAATCCCTTTGTGTAACATAAGATGCTTTCCTGAAATAAACTGCTGATTGTACTTCTTAACACATGCACGGGACTACAATTCTGACCCACATCCACAGGTTTAGGCTGTTATCAGATTTCCTCAAGATTGCAATCTTCAAATAAATCCAGAATTACACCATCTGCTAAGCTTTACCACTGTGTGCCAAGACACGATGTACATTTCTCGTATTTCAGATGAACAGCTTTGGACGTCTTGGCCTTTTAACACGTATACAATGGTGTCCATGCAAATGACAAGTCCCACTGGAGCTCTGGGTGCGTAATTAAGATTGACAAGCCCCTTTCTGGCACACGCCCTCTTCAGAGATAATAGCCTCAGGGGGACGTATCCATGTCCTACTACAGCTGGGCTATTAGGAAGACCCTTTTGTGACCCTGTAGACTGAAGCCCCTAGTGGAGTGTGTGAACATTTCCTAAATTGAGATACATGGGGCGAGTTGAGTGTAAATCAATAGGGTATTCATTGAATTTAGGTCTATTTGATATGCAGATTAACTGACTGAGTTTTTGCATAGCCTACCTATGATTGAACACGAGCCTAACAAAAAATGCCAATGTTTTAGTTTTACAAGTTAGTTGCAAGTTGCAAGTCAGAAGCAGGTGGTTATCGTGGGAAGGGGCATTCTCAGTGGAAACATTTATTGGACAAAAATGTAATATTTAAGATGAGGCATCAGTGTTTTTAGTCATTTTACAGGAAGAAAAATATTGTAAATTGAGTTTAGTTAAATATGAATGGCTAACACTAGGTGAAAGCTAATGTAGACAAACTAAAGGCCACAAAAGCTAAAAAAGTAAACCAATTGGGTTTTTTTCTAACTTAGTTTTTTTTTCAGTTATTGTTTTACAATAGTGCAAACATGCGCCTCTTAGAAATTTGGATCATTTCCAACAATGTATATATTGAACCAGTCGATTCATTTTTGCACAACCACATTAAAAAGGGAAAGAAGAGAGAGAGAGAGAAAAAATAAATAAATAAAAAATTAAAATAAAATGACAGCAAACAGATATTAATCATCATGGTACATGAAATATTGTATCATATTTCTTCAGAAAAGAAATACATTTTCATAAATTAAGAAGAAATTAAGAAAGAGATTTGATTAAATAGTTTACTTCGAATAAGAACTCATTAAAAATAAGAATTTTCATAAGAAATCTTTTTTGTGATCTAGATTTGTTTGGGCTTTCAAAAAAATAAACAAATTATATCCTTATTGCAAAGACTACCATTCATATTAACTTTAGAAAAACAATAAGAGCCCAAATCATTCCAAAAAAAAAAAAAAAAAAAAAAAAAAAAAATTCTGAAAGATTACAAGAAAACTAAAAGCAAATTACAGATGTCTTCAATAAATAAGCCAATTGTGCAACCATGGGTGAGGGGTTCAGTGACGTCAGTAAAAACGAAAGTTGTTTGTAGAGGCGGAGTAATATTTCAGATTTAGCAATTCATCTTCAGAAATCAATTCAATTCTTTTGGCATATTTCTACTTGCTGAATGCCGATGAATCGTATAGACCAGAAAGAACATTTAGTGTGTGGAAATATCCTGTTAGCTCTAAACTAAAACTTCAGTTTTGACGTTAACTTTGTAAATGAATGGTTATAACATACCATTGCGTTCGAACAATTAAGCAAGCAAAGAACAAATAAGATGAACCATCTCCTTTTGTAAACTTTGAACTCGGCAGGAGCGTTTTTTCCGTCCAGGTGAGACCGAACATCTTCACTCGAGCTCCCGATGAGCGCTTCGGTCTCGGCGCTTCCGTCATCCATGATGACAGACCTGAACCTCAATCAGATCACAAGTGAGTTGCAAAAACTCTTCGAATGTCAAACTGTCCTGAGCGGTGTATCCATTTGTGTCCAAAAAACTACTCTGTCGATAATATACACAAATCAATAATTCCACCAGTTTCATTTCCAATCGTTTCCAGGCAGTGCACTCTTTAAATCCAAGAGTAGGTCTACCTTAGACCATTGTTATGGTTATGGTTTTGGTTTCGCATATATACGCCGGTGAATTAGAGTTGAGAGTTGTTAGGCGGCTTCAACATTACAACATCCAATCCACAATCACATCATCACCACTCCCTTCAACCCGTGACTCGCTGTCATAGCGCCGGCCGGGTTATCTCCTGAAACTCCATTCTGTTATCTGTCTGGAGTTTAGACAGCATCAGGAAAAGAAATCTATTTTAAATGTTTTTCCAAAACAATCTGATTCTAAGAAATACGCCAATACATTCATTTAGGCTACAACATCATTGTCATCCCATGCAAAGACTATTGGTCCAGTACTGTTTGTAACTAATGTGTTAATAATAATGTGTTTACAAAAACAAAACAAAGTAACAACAATATAATCATGGTTAGTTATTGATAAACTTGTTTATTTAATATTAACTTAATATTTTCACATAAATTAAAGGGAAAATGTTCTGTTTTCTTACTATTTCAATTGAGGAAATGGAATGGAGAAAGCAAATAACCTTCCAGTTTGACCCAAGTTTGTCAAAATGATGACATTGCGGCATGATTTTACTAAATGTTGTAAACAGTTATTCCATTGGACCATGAGTTAAGCCCAAATCTTTTAAGCCTATTTGATGTGCTTTTTATTTAGGCCTATTTATTTATATATTAACGGGGTTGTGTCTCAAATTCTTTTTTTTTTTAAGTCGTGAGAGACAAAAGAAAAAAAGTGCTTTTTTATTGTAGTCTATTATTTATAGTAGGCTAGTAGCCTAATGTATAGTGCATTTGCTATCTAGGCTAATTTAAATGAATAATAATATATTATGTAATTTATCATAAAAGTCGTAATTCAAGCATGTCATTTACTAAGATCCATGTAACTTTTCAAATGAATGAAACATATTAATGAAAGTATAATGGCCAATGGCTTTAGTCTCTCAGCCACCCCTCCTCCCTTTCTTAAAGTCAGCGCATGCGCAAAAGGGCTCTTCTGTGCGCTGCTTCGGCCTGTTTCGGCAGTGGCCGGACATTTTCGCCTCTTTGTTTTACTGATAGTGGATTTAACTCGGATTCAACCCAATATCCAGCGGACCGCTCTGGCCATAAACAGGTTTGTTCCTTTAAACTTGAACCGATGCCCGCTGATCATTGCACGAGCTTTTTTTCGGACGACAAACGCGGAGTTTTCATTTATTCTCGCTGTGTTTTTTTCCGCTTGATGGCAGCTCTGCATGGCTATACGTGCTGTTATCTGTGCGGTCGTGTTGTATGTGTGTGTATGCGTGTGTAAATGTGTGTGTGTGTGAATGGCGACACCGGGCCCTGCAGCTCCTAACCGGGGTCATCTTTATAAGAAAGGAAAAAGTGTAATTTAGTGTAGCTGGAGTTTCATAAGCATTCACTCCTGTGTCTGATTATAGTTCTTGTGTTGGTCAGTTCTCCTCTTCCTTCTGCCTGGAATGTTCTTGAGAGCTTCTTGACCATCATCAAAATCATCATCTACCCATCTGTGTGGTGAAAGTTGGGGTTTGATGCTTTGACAGGTTTGCATGCAAGCTAAAATGAAATCTGGGCCAGAGAAAAAGTTAAAGCCCAGAGGGTTTTGGGGAAGCATGTGCAAACCTGCACCCCAGACTCCTGGAGCAGAAACAACCAACAAGTCATACCTCATGTGTTTTTGATTCACTTTTTTACATTATAGCTGGGGGTACGACAAACAGGATATTGTTGTTACAGTTACAGTATTAATTGTACAGACAATTTTCTGTTGTTCCAAAGTTGTGGGGGCGACCTGTCCTCCTTATACCTGCTGGTATTTCCACACCTACATGATGGACATATGGAGTTGTCATGTCTGGACATTGGTTGGCATCCACATTTCAATGCAATTCTGTGGTCTGGCATCTAATAACCACGTTGACCATTATAGCATTGTCTTATGTCAAGATGTGGTGTGTTGGTTTAGAGTGTTAATATTCTTAAAATATAAAATGTTTTCTTGTGTATTTGGTCTAATGACACCACCTTCACGCCATGCTGTTAACCGTGAGGCCTTTTATAATACACCCTTTTATTATAAAGTGAATCTCATGAAACCTGTCAAGAGGTTGCATTTCAGCACAAACTGAAAAGCAAAAAAGTGTTAAATAACTTTGTAAAGATATTTAAGTCTATAGTGAGGAGGACCATTAAGATTTTAAAATGTTGTCGCATTATTTTTAATAAAATTAACCCAATTTTCCTACTAAATTATCGTATAAAAGTGTTTTGATTCACCATTAAAATGGGGAGAGAATTATCAATTGCTGTAATGACAGTAAAGCTCATTAAAAGCATTTGTCAATGCTAACAGGAAAAGGGCTATAAAAACATATTTTCTACTTTTGATTTTGGGCTGAAATATGACAGACTCTTGACTGGTTTCGTAAGATTGAGTCAAGTGAGTCAAACATTCAGATGCCTTGTTTCATGATTAATCGCTTAGTCAGTGTCAAGCCTATAATTGTCTGATTCTTTTGTGTTAAAAGTATGTGATAGCCTGATGAAGTATCACAAGACAGACACGTGCCAATTCAAACACTTATAAATGTTTTTTTCGTTAGACTGGTTTAAACATGTGGCCTGTGGCTATTGCGCAGTCCTCGCTTATGTGCAAGCAACAGTTAAATGGTTTTCAGTGAAAACAATGCCTTTCAGTTTGTCGATGTTTTTAGTGCATACCCAGAAAAGCAAGTACTAAAACCGGTCAATCCTGCGGTGTGGCATTAAGCAGTGGAATGACAGCCTACAGCCCGGCTGTCATTCCCACTGATGTAAAGCGTCACGTTAAACAAAAGTAATTTAAAATTGAGCCATTGAAATTTGACTTATTTTGAATGGGGTGAGGTGTTGGTTTACATTTACAGTTAGATTTGATTCAGTGGATTGAAGGCCTTAAATCAGGTAATGTGTGTAACTCAAGTGTGATTTCACTTTGGGTTTCTGTGATCGTGGTTCAGCTCTCACTTCATAAACTGTTAAAATCTGTCAAACTTTGGATTTGCTTTAATTATCTGTTCAGCTTCATACTCCTTAAAGGGATAGTTCACCCAAAAATCTTGTGGAAGCTCAAAGGTGCTGCGTAACACGAGAATGGACCTCATTGGTTCTTGCTAGAGCTAAAAGGTGTTGCGCAACACGAGAATGGACCTCATTGGTTTTTGCGCGGCAAGCGAACATGCTTGAGCTTCCGTTTAGCACAACTGATGCGTGAGTTGATGAATATTTATTGTTTATATGTGAATTCAATCTGTTCATCATATAAAGCAATCGTGTCTCTTTGGAAAGTTTTGGACTAAACTGCTCAATCCATTTGGATTAGTTTTATGATCTCTTCACAAACTTTTTGAAGCATCAAAGTGGTAAATGCGTGTAGGGCTGCAACTAACGATTATTTTGATAATCGATTAATCGGACGATTATTTTTTCGATTAATCGATTAATCGGATAAAAAATTATATTCCTTTTTTTGTTTATTATAACAAAATAAAACCCTAAAAACCACACTCTTTTGTGTGTTAAACTTCATTATAAAGAAAAACAACAAATAAAAAAAATATATATGACCATAACCTATGACAAAAATGCTATTGTAAACTAGATTAGTGGATAACTCAGCAAAACTTAGCCTAGAAATATCACAAGTGCACAATAATTTTATAAAATCTGAAAATTTAGTGAAAAAAACATTCCTTAGTGGGGAACAAATAAGAGACTAATAAGTGTAGCACATTGCTCTTTGTATTCTTGTTATACATTCATGAAAAACATCGTAAAAATCAGATGCACAACTGTTTTAAATGTAAAGCACAGCTGTTTAGTGAGGAAGCAAAATATAATAGATAGGACAGAACAAGAAAGGCTATTAATAAGCTTTCATTGCGCAAAAGTATTTTGACATGATCATGAAAGAGCTGCACAAAGTGCTTATGCGCGTCGCGAGCGCTGAATGATGCGCTTGAAGCAACACGGAGTCACAGGGCGGCGCGCAGCTCTTCAGTGTCCGCCGCATTAAAGTTAAAAGCACCAAGGAAAGAGAAAGACATACTGACTGTGTATTATACAGTATCTGTGCAATAGTTTATTAAGCCTTTTCTTTTAACAGTTTTAAAATTCAGTTAGGCTATAGGGTTGCCGCGGTGAGGAAAATTTCCCACCGGTTAATCGACGTGTGACAACACCGGTAATCCCGGTGTCACCGTGGAGGGCAGGGCGGGGGGGTTAAATAGCTTTTAAATGCGTGCGCGTTATACTGTCACTTTCGAAATAAGCGTCAATTGCTTGAATGGACAAAAAAAAACAACTCGCTGATAATAAAACTTTTATTTATAGACTTTTATTAGCATAACGAACGAATAAAAATAACCCCATGCATAGGCTGAAAAAAGTGAAAATCGGCAAACTGTGGGCCCAAAAAAAATAAATAAAACGTTTATTAACGAATAAGAAAACAAAATAGGCCTAAATAAATTAAACAAAGTTTAAATAAGATAAAACCAAATAAAAAGAGACGAATATAAAATAAAAACTTTAAAAAGGACCTTAGCCTACATAAATGACAGCACTCTAAAAAAAAGTAAAACACTATAAATTGGCATTTATTAACATTAATATATATTGGCCAAAATATTGCCAAACAGGCGCTTTTGCATTGCGTTTTGACACCAAATCTTCCGCCATTATCTTGCTTTTCTGTAATTTGACTCCTTCTCGTCTCCACACGTGCTAAATGGAATCCTGATGCTTGCTGATCTGTGACGTGACGGCACGCGTTGCGCAGTTCATTTTTAATTATAATGCTCTCTTCAGAACTAAATAATTGAAAATTATTATTTTTAATTAATTCAAATAAATATTTTAGCAAAAACGAATAGGCTACTTTAAAAAAAAAAGTCAAGACATCGCGGTGTCACGGTGGGAAAGTGATGTCACCGGTGATGGGGCTTAAAACCGGTAACACCGTCAACACCGTCTATCGCGGCAAGCCTATTAGGCTACTGTGCACGTGAAGAACAATTATACTGCGCCGACTCTATAGTGTTGTGATCTAACAGACACTCAGTAGAAAGTGATTAAGTTACAGCAATAAAAGTCTAGCAAGATAGAAAAACCATCATAGACCTTTATCTACGGATCAATTATAATAATAACATTGAATCATCTTGGAAAGAGATCATCATGTTAACTGTTGTAACGCGACGCGCTGTTTGAACACCGAATAGAGAATGACTGACAGCCGCAGTGGAGGGAAAAGCTTAGGTTAACTTGAATTTAATGACTTAAATATACATTTCTATCTCACATTATACTATAGTATGGCTTCATAAAGTATACACGATTAACGTAGGTCACCTATTTTGGTTTTAAAACGGCGAATTTACCGAAAGGTGAATGATTTTCGTGTATGCTGCATATTGATAGCAGTTTCCCGATGCCCGCAAATTAGTTCAAACTCACGGAATCAAGAGCGCGCATGCGAGACAGAAGATAATGTGCTCCAAACCGTCCGTGTTGCGCGCGCGAGGCAGGGTACAGCGGCGAGGGAGAGAGACTACATGTGCGCCTCATGAAGCGGGGATGTAAGAAGCGCATGTTCCATGTAAACAATCCCCGTGACGTAATCAGACCAACTAATCGATAATGACATTCGTTGACAACGATTTTCATAATCGATTATAATCGATTTTATCGATTAGTTGTTGCAGCCCTAAATGCGTAGCTGTCCAGGGTTTCAGACTTTGACCATTTTGTGCAGAATGTGCAAGTTAAAATTTTATATGGTCGCATTTGTGCAAGCACATGGTAATGTACTACTCAGTTAAATTAACCATGATGCGCAACAGAACGCCGTTGTATCAGCAGCAACTGAGCAACCAGTGGAAAAGTTAGTCTGGAGCCCTGCTGTCAATGAAGAGACCGAAAGCTCTCAGATTTAATCAAAAAGATTTTCATTTGTGTTCTGTAGATGAATGAAAGTCCTGTTTGACACGACTTGAGGGTTCGTAATTAATAGGGATGTCAATTATAACAAATTAACACGATCGATCGTTGTTAAATTAATCGATTAATCGT